CAACAGTAAGTGTTGGTGAGGATGTGGGGAGAAAAATACACTCATACATTGCTGGTGGAACTGCAAATTGGTGCAACCACTCTGGAAAGCAGTATGGAGGTTCCTCAGAAAATTTGGAATGAAACCATTTGACCCAGTTATCCCTCAGCATATACCCCAAAGACATGGCCACATCAATATTTATAGCAGCTCAATTAACAGTAGCTAAACCATGAAACCAACCTAGGTGCTCTTCAACAGATGAAGGGATAAAGAAAATGTGGCATATATACACAATGAACTGCTACTCAGTCATAAAAAAGAATGACTTTTATGACTTTTGCTGGCAAATGGATGAAACTGGAGACTATTATACCATTATAATTTGGATATGAGGTGTCTCCCAAAAGCTCATGTATGAAACAATGCAAGAAGGTTCAGAGGAGAAATGATTGGGTTGTGAGAGTCAATCTAATCAGTAAATTAATCCCAATGGGATTAACTGAGTGGTAACTAGAGGCAGGTAGGATATGGCTGGAAGAAGTGATTAATTGGGGGGCATGGCTATGGGGTATATATTTTGTATCTGGAGAGTGGAGACTCTCTCTCTCTGCTTTCTGATCACCATCATGTGAGCTGCTTCCCTCCTCCACCCTCTCCTGCCATGATCAGCTGCACCTCGAGCCATGAGGAATAGAGTCGGCCTTCTGCGTACTAAGACCTCTGAAACCATGAGCCCTCAAATAAACTTTTCCTCCTCTACAATTGTTCTGGTCAAATCTTTTAGTCACAGCATTGAAATAACTGACAAAACACATGCTAAGTGAAATAAGCCAACCCCCCAAAACCAAAGGATGAATGTTCTGTCTGATAGGCAGATGCTGACACACAATAAATCGGGGCAGGGAAGAACAGAAGTTCTTTGGATTAGACAAAGGGGAAGGAAGCGAAGGGAATGGATGGGAATAGGGAAAACCGTAGAATGAATTGGACATGACTTTCCTATGCTCATATCTGAATACACAACCAGTGAAACTCCATATCATGTACAACCACAAGAATGAGATCCTAATTAGAATCAGGGTGCAGTGGTGCCTGTAATCCCAGTGGCTTGGGAGGCTGAGGCAGAAGGATGGCGAGTTCAAAGCCAGCCTCAGCAAAAGCAAGGCACTAAGCAACTCAGTGAGACTCTGTCTCTAAATAAAATACAAAATAGGGCTGGGGATGGGGCTCAGAGGCTGAGTGTCCCTGAGTTCAATCCCCAGTACCACCCCCCTCAAATAAGTTATACTCTGTGTATGTATAATGTCAAAATACACTCTACTGTAACATATATCTAAAAAGAACAATTTTTTTTTAAAAGAATGGATCAGGCTAGGGATATAACTCAGTTGGTAGAGTACTTGCCTAGCATGCACAAAGCCCTGGATTCAATCCCCAGCACCACCAAAATAATAATAATAATAATAACAATAAATGGATCGTCACTCCATCCTGCCTCCTCCTGCTTAGGAATCAGGATCTTTTCACAGCATGACATGCAACGAGAGCCAGAGTCAAAGCAGCCAGGGTCAGTCAGTCAGGAGGATGTGGACATCACCCTGAAGGGCAGAGGCCACAGGCTGGTTCTGCTGGGCCTTGGTGCCTGGAGGCTGAGGTGGCTCATGCCCCTTCCAGTCCCTTGATGAGCTTTGGTTCTTCAAGCTTTGGTTCTCCAGAGTGGCTTCTGCCCCCTTTTATGCCAGCCTCTTCTATTCCATGAAGACTGGGCAGAAGTCCCTAACTGTGGCCCTCATCGTTCCCCTCCCTAAGACCTCCCTTGGCTCATGAGATGCAGAGAGAGAAGCCTGGAGAAAACCCTAGGTAGGGCCCAGCCCAGACCGGCGATGCTGCCAGGACTGCCAGATACTATGCTCATCCTCTCTGGTCCCAAGAGGCACCAGGGAGGTCTGGGCCTCGGTCTCCCTGGAGGCCACCTTCCCTCAAAAGGGAAGCAGACAGGAATCTTTTTCTGCTAACTTTGGTACCGGGGAAACCTGAGTTCCCTCTTCACCCCCACAGAGCTAGTACTGGGAGCTGGTGCTCCCAAAGGGGAGTTTCTCACCCCCCCCTATCAAACCCATGTCTCCCTCCCTTAGGTGAGCTGTGCTCTTGGAGGCTCTAGATGATCCATCTGATGACCTATTTGATTTAGGAAGTGGCATAGAGAAAGATGGCCTGGGGTCAGATCCCAGCTATGTCACTAGCTGTCTGACCTTGGGCAAGTCACACAACTTTTATAGGTGAGCCACACCTGCAAAATGTTCCAGAATCCCTGCCAGGAACCAATGGGCTAATGCATATGAAGATATTTTGTAAGCCCTAAAGTGCCACAGAGAAATGATGACTGATTATATTACCTGTCCTGGGAGTTTCCACATGGCCAGGAAGGCCTCCTGAGGATAATGAGTACAGCCTCATCTCCTTGGGACTCAAATGGCTGATCATCTGTATCTGCTTTAACAAGTTCCTGTATGATTATGATGAACACAAAAATGTGAGAATCTCAGCAGCAGACTTTGGGGTGGAATTCTAGGCACTGGGAGTGGGCCCAAGGCTGGGAGGGAGGTTTGCAATGGTGGGCTATTACTTGTCCCTGGAATGTGGCACCCTTGGGAGGTGTCTACTTTGTTGAGAATGAAGGTCAGCCTCAGACTCTTGGGAAATCCCTTAGTACTGGGGATTGAACCCAGGGATGCTCCACCACTGAGCTACACCCCCAGTCTATATATACAAATTTTAGTTGTTGTTATTGATGATGGACCTTTATTTTATTTATTTTTATGTGATGCTAAGGGTGGAACCCAGTGCCTCACATATGCTGGGCAAGTGCTCTACCACTGAGCTACATCCCATCCCCCGAGGCCTTCAAATCTTGAAAACAATTTAAAAAAATAAAAAGGTGTTTTGAAGGTGTATATCCTGCAGGCTCTACACACAGGGTGGAATGGGCCTTCTCAAGTATCTCCTCTTCTACCTTGAGCATGGTTGGGGCTCAAGACTGAGGTCTCAGGTTGGGCAGAAGGAGGAAGGAAAAAAATGCAGTGTGCACCTCCCTCCTTCAATCCCTGGGGAGGTTGCAGCAGGTCCTTGAATGCTTAGAAGGCAGCATGTCCCCCCAAGGCTACCTCCATGGACACTCCGCCTGACCACAGCCAGGACAGCTTGGCCCCCACAGCAACACTCTTCTGCACAAAGCCTGTTCTAGAGATGCAGGAGCAGGTAGAGGGGAAAGCTCCACGAACCCTGCTTCCTCCCCAAGACCTTGAAGGAAGGATGGGTACCCTACAAGCTCCCTTCTAAGGAGCTGGGTCCCCTGTAGGACCAGTGAAACCCTCTTGCCTCAACTTGGCCAAACTGTTGTCATCTTTCAGCCTCAACCTATATCCATCTCTTCCAAGAAGCCTTCTACACTCAAACAGCCTATACATCCCTCCTTCTGGCTGCCAGCACCGGCCCAGCACTTTCTTTTTATACTGGAAGATGCTGGGGAAGTGAAGAGCCTTCCATGTCTGCTTTGGTGGTCTCAGGTTCATGGGTGAGGCAATGTCTGATCTTTTCACCAATAGTAGCCACATTAATAACAAAGGCTAAGGACACTCACTGAGTGATAGGCACTTGACGTGTTATGAAGTCACTTTAAATCTTACAAATTAGGATTATGTTATAACTGAGGCACAGAGAGTAAAGTAACTTGACCCAAGATTGCACAGCAAATATGTAGCAAGGCCTTGTGTAGTAACTGCAGAGAGCAGTCAGGTCTTGTAGTTTCTATCCATTTGGGGACATCTGTTCATCTGTTGAAGAGCACTTAGGTTGGTTCCCTTAATTTGAATGCTGGATGGCTTGTTTCAAAGTCTCATTTTTTTTTTTTTCTTCCCAATGCTGGGGGTGGAACTTAAGGCCTGGCACATACTAGGCAAATGTATTACTACTAAGCCAGACCTCAACCCCTTGTCTCTCAATCTCTTGAGTGCACAAGTTTTATTCTATCCTTCCCTGATACCACCCTCCCTCACACCTATCCCTTTCCCAAGTGATAGAGCACACAATGGGTACTTTAGAAGGTGCTGTCCCCAGATGGGTCACTGATCATATAGGAGGACACTTCTGACACCAGGTGGCAGTAGTGGATAAAATTTCTCTTTGATCTCTGGGTCTAGTGTGTCAAGTAAAAATTTAAAACTTTTATTTATGGTACAAATGATAAATACTTTGTATTAAAAATCTGGAATTCAAGTTTTCCTTGTACTTCATACTCCCTCCCTGCTCCAGAACCTTACAAAAATATTTCTGTTTAGAGGGAGGAAGAGGGGTTGCCCGCTCCAGGGGCAAAGTCCAGGTCTGGGGAAAGGCACATGTGGTCAGTGTCAGGGGTGGTAGGCGTCTGCTCAGCCCCACACCCGGCCTGGCCTTGTGAGAAAGAAGAATGCATGGGATCTGGCACAGGGGCTGTGACATGGGTCCCCAAGAGCACCTCTTTGGAGGTGCAGATCCTTTCATTGGTGGGGAATAGGAAGGTGTGGCAAGGCCAGCTCCTTCTAGTCATGAGTGGGGAGATGGGTTAATAGGCAGAGACTCCTTTTAGGATCTAAACCTTTGAAGAGCTGAATTCTAGGCTGTCACATTTTGGTTGCTTGAAAGTGAACACTTCAGGGGAGATGAGGAGGGGAAGGGGGCAAGTGTGGAGAACTAGCTTTGTCTCTCCCTGCCCCCAAGGAAGGCACAGGGTGGGAGGGGGCTGCCTTCATGAATGACCCTGCTGTCCCACCCCTTTCACAGTCATGCAAGAGGCAGGCAGGCCGAGGCTTCAGGGCCAGAGTGGGGGAAGGGAACTTAAGGCCTTAGGTAGGGTGGCCACCTCCTCTGGTGGCAGGGCCCAGAGCAGCCCTGCTAGGGGTCCTCATCCCAGAGACACAGTTGCCTCTGGGGCACATAGAAGTCAAAGTTATAGTTCTTCTGGCAGCTTCGGATGCCACACTTGTAGGGCGCGGGCCGCTCACGGCTGTGGCAGTACTTGAGCATGCAGGGGTACCAGGCCAGGCTCAGGCCATAGCGGCAGGTGCAGGGCTTCTCACGGTCCCCCACCTGCCTGCAGCGAGGCAGTTCCATCTGCTCAGATGCCTTGGGTAGAGCCTCGAAGACAGAGCTGTCCACACCTGGGGAGAAAGGCAAAGATGAGAAAGGGAGGGGGTATCCTAGCTGCAGGCTGCAGCCCCCTCCCAGCCTCTTTAGTTACCCCCTTCCCAAGCTCCTTTGGGTATATGGAGGTAAGTGGGAGGCACTGAGTCACAATCACCTTCATCTATTGAGTCCCAACTATGTGTCAGGGATTCTACATTCAGTACCTCTTTCCTTCACCCATGAGCTAAGCATTGTCACCCGTCTCACAGATTAGAAAACTGGGGCAGAGCCAGGCACATGCCTGTAATTCCAGTGGTTCAAGAGGCTGAGGCAGGAGGATTGCAAGTTCAAAGTCAGCCTCAGCAATTTATCGAGACCCTATCTCCAGTAAAATATTAAAAAGGACTGGGGATGTGGCTCCAATTCCTGGTACCAAAAAATAAATAAATAAATAAAAGGGAAAGAGAGAGTCAGGTCTGTCTGACTTCAAATTTGTACTTGGCTTTAAAACACCACTGTACTGGAGTGTGCCAAAACAGAGGTGTTGGGGAGACTGGGGAGGAAATCAGGACAGCTTCTTAAGGGAGATGGTGTCTGAGTAGGGCTAATCAGGGAGGGGACAGCCCAAACTTGCCCATAGAAGGCAGGGACTGGGCCAGGCTCTGCTCAGTGACTGTGAGAGGGACCAGCTTCTGTGGGGTATTAGTGTCAGGCTTATACCTTAGTTTGGGGCACAGCACATGGGGAAGTGGTGAGCCAGGCATGGCTAGCCCTATGAGCATCTCTCAATCCAGTCCCGCCCAGGGAACAGCACGCATTTCTTTAGGCTCAGGAGGCTGGGTGGAGAGATCAGGGGCCAGGAGCTGGAATAGTGATGTTTTCCTGTTCCTCCCACATAGAGGACCTGTGGGCAGTCCTAGGAAGGGCACAGAGAGCTGGGCCAGTGTTGAATTCACATAGGGACAGCACAGGGCGGTGGGCAGGTCCCAGGGATCATGGGGAGAGGTATCAAGAATCATGAGGGAGACACTGGCACCGGGGATGGTGCAAAACTGATTTCTGGGAGGCAGCAGCAGAGGCAGGCAGGGAAGAATGGGTGCCTGTGATCCCCTCTCATGACAGAAGGTCTGTGTCCCAAGGGCAGGGATATGGGGGAGAGTCGGAGAATCTCCCTCTGAAGGGTCTGGCAGTCCCTTGTCCCTCCTGGAATGAGTCCCTTTCATCTGGATGACCCTTACTGACAGCTACACAGACACCACTTCTCTAGGAAGCCTTCCTGGACTGATCACAGCATGGCTTAGAGGTTCCACCCCTGAATGCCCGGGTTCATTATTATGCACTCTGCCAGACTTAAAGCTTTGTCAATCTAGCCCCCTCCGCCAGCCCTGCCCAGGAAGCTCCTAGGAACAGGAATCAGGCGTCTCTGACCCCAGGTTGACTCATCTCTGCAGGTGCTCAATAAACATCTCCTGAACAAATGAAGGAGCCCCTCAGTGAGGTGCCCCTTTGGCCATCTGTGATGTCCCTCCACCCCCTTCTCTCTGCCGTGCTACAGACAGGGCCCAGCAACTAACTGACCTTGTTCCAGCCAGAACCGGACATCCTCCTGGCGGGTGTAAATGGCATCTGCGGCCTCAGCGCATACGTTGTGAAGATGGGGACTCAGCAGGCCGCCCTGGCTAAAGTTCACAGCGATGTCCATGTGCAGCTGTTCCAGGCCCCGCATCTCCTCAGCCTGCCTCACTGCCCGTGGGTTTTTCTGTGTGAAGAGGACAGGAGCCACTCCTACCTGGCCTTGGAGTGCTCCCTGCCCAGATCTCCCATGATCCCTGAGAGCCCCGGCTGGCAGTCAAGGGGCACCCAGCCCCACCCCTGGAACTGCAGAGGGCAGTGAGGTCTTGCAGCTTCTATCCAGAATGAACTGCTCTCCAGCTGACCGCTGGAGCCTGATGGCCTATTCTGCGGCGCTCCTGGGAGGTGGAGGTGGGCAGGCCAGGCTAGTAGTTGTCCCAGGGTAAATGACCTCTCAGGTCAGGTTTTTTTTTTTTTTTTTTTTTTGCAGTGCTAGGGATGGAACCCAGGGCCTTGTACCCCTCTGCTACTAAGCTACACCCCAGCCCTTGTCATGTGCTAACCACACCCAGGGAGCTGAGTCTCTCTGGGAAGGGCAGGTGAAAGGGAAGGGAGGAGTTCATGGGGCAGGCCTGTTTGTAGGCCAGGCAGAATAGATGAAGCCACCAGAGGACTGGGGTCTAGGGGACCAGCAGCAGGTCAGCAGGTTGTAGGGCTGTGAAGGTCATGCTGAGCACATGTATTTTCTCACTACATTCTCTCTTATAACTCATTCCCTTAATAAGAAAATTGAGGCTCTGAGGGTAAGGTAATGTGTCCAATGTCACCAGCTTATGGGTATGGTGATACAAACCTGTAATTGCATTGGGTCTGGAGGCTGAGGCAGGAGGATCCCAAGTTCATAGCCAGCTTCACCAACTTAGTGAGGCCCTAAGCAACTTACTGAGACCCTGTCTCTAAAAACATGGGGGTTCTGGGTCAGCAACTGGCCAGGGCAGTCCAGGGTGGATACTCACCTGCCGTAGCTTGGCCATGGCCTCACTGGGGATGATCTCATTGTGGTGCAGTCGGGTGACAAAACAGAGGGCCTGGAATTGACTCTGCCCCTTTTCCAGCTCCCCCAGGATCAGGGCCCGGAAGATCTTCACATCCTGAAGGGAAGAGCAGGAGGATGGGACACCAGATGGAGAGAAGGGGAATCCATTCCAGCCTTCCATTCCAGCTCAAGCCCTGGAGAAAAGGGCACCTGGATACCCACAACAGACACCTTCCTCTTCTGCCTTAGGACTTCACCTTTCCCATTTAATCTCATGACTTAAAAGAAAGACCCCCATCCAAAGGTTCCAAAGCTTTCTGGGAAATTGACAAAGTGAACCCATCAGAAAGAATCCTTTAGCCAGGCCTGTTAGTGCACACCTATAACCCCAGAGGCTCAAGAGGCTGAGGCAGGAGGAGTGCAAACTCAAAGCCAACCTCAGCAACTTAGTGAGACCTTGTCTCTAAACAAAATATAAAAAAGGGCGGGGATGTGGCTCAGTGGTTAAGTGTCCCTGGGTTCAATCCCTAGTACCAAAAAAAAAAAAAAAAAAAAAAACCCAAAAACCAAACCCCCAAAACCAAAGAACCCTTTGACAGTATGGAGCTTCACCTTGAAGATAGTACCTCTTTTTTTTTTTTTTTTTTGTCTGTTTTCTTTTTTGCAGTGCTGAGGATCAAACCCAGGGCCTTGTACGCAAGGGAAGTTCTCTACCACTGAGCTACATCCCCAGCCCAATAGCACCTCTTTTTGGCATCTGGTTTGTTCAGGGCTGAGGCTTCCACTGGGTGGAGCAGCTGCCACCACCTGACCAGGGCATCACAGGGAGGGACTGCGCTTTCACAAGTCAGATTCCAGAGCTTCTCTCTGACCTTATTCAGCAGACTTGAGGACAGTTCTCCAGATGGCCCTGGTGCTTCTGATTAGCCAGGCTCCTGGCCACCCACCTCTCATTTTAGGGCTAGTGGGGACAGGGTTGTGTCAAGGGCAGGCTGCAGCTGTTGCTGCCTTCCCTTCCGGTCAGGGGGAGCTGGGATGGCTCACCTTTCCCTCCCCACTTCCCCTTTCCCTAGGGGGTACTAATGGCATGATCAGCAGGCCAAGAGCTCCTTCCTGTTACTGACTCACCGAGTGAATGGGGGAGCCTAGAAGGGAGCAGAGGGAAAAAGGTCCCTTTCCAATCTGGCTGTGGCTGGAACCCTCTGCTCCACCCACCTGCACCCCTTACTCCCATCCTCCCATAGTTCTTAACGACTCTGTGCCTCGGTTAATTCTGCTCCCAGTGTGAAGTTAGCAAGTCCCAGTAAAAGTGGTTTGTGTCTGTCAAGACCCTTCCTGCCATGGACACACCCTGGCTTCCAGGACTGTTGGCTGAGAACCCCCCCCACCCCCCCACCTCTGCACAGGCACTTACATACAGCCTTGGGCAGTCATTCATCTTTCAATGCTTGTGCCTGGGGCATCTCCTGCTGAGAGAGCCCAATTCATTCAGTGCTTAATATACCTCTGCTAGAGTATAAGGGTTTTTGAGATCAGAGACCAAGTGTTCTCCTGGATGCAGACAGCAGGGGCCCACATTTCACCCCAAAGCTGCATTGTATTAGCTGGTACCCTAGGTTACCCCCAATTTCTCTAAGCTTCACTTGTGAAACAGGAAGAACACATTTGCCTGATAGGTTGTCACCTGGAAGCAGTAAGCGCTCAGCATGTGTTAGCTGTGGTTACTGTCACCGCTGCAGTGACTGGTAAAGGCTGCAGATCCTCTGCAACAAATGGCTGCCTAAGATCTCCGAAATCCCTGTGTGCTTCTGCCACCCTGTAATTCTGCAGGGGTTGCTTTTACTTCCTTTAGCTGTAAATGATTTCTGGAACAATGGGGTGTGCGAGCATATAGGTTGATTTTCCGGAAAGGGAAACTGAGGAAGGTCCCATCAGGTTCCTTATGATCCCAGAGACTTGTGGAGATGGTGAATCAGAGCTCTACTTCCCCTTGACAGGAAATCCCTTCTTGGGTCACAATGCTGGCATCTCCTTTTCCTGCCAGCCTGGGTCATCTGATCTTTCATTCACTCGGGTTGGCTGAGGGGACACTGGCGGTGAGGACACGGGTGGCATATTCCACTCTGGGTTCAATTCCTGCCAGGTGAGACTTGACACCAGACTTCCCCTGCCAGAAATGAGTCAGGCAGATGTCCCTGACTGGATCCCCCAGGCAGGATCCAAAAATCCACCTCCCTGGTATTTTCACCTATGACCCTTTAAAACAAACCCTGTCTGGATGTTCATGTCTTCTCCATTGTATGTGCACTACCCTGTGGTCTGAGGACTGCTAAGGGGTCTCATTGCTTGGTGACATCACTTGCCCATCACTAGCAGGAGAATGCGTTTGAATTTTTGGAGCAAAGGGGGTGAAAGAAATTTGCTTGAACTTTCTCCCTGTGTCTATATTAAATAATCATAGCAATGACAACAACACAATGCTACAAAAATGAGAACCTAACGTGGGGGGGGATTGAGAAAGATGATTTCCTCTCTCTCTCTCTCTCTCTCTCTCTCTCTCTGTAGGACAAAGAGTTACTGAAGTCTATAACTGGAAGGGAGAAATAATTATTATGGATCAAGCAGGATCAAAATCCTTGCACAATAGAACTCTATTACCAAGTTTGGACTGGGTAACTTGATCAAGGTCACAGGCTGTGAGTAAAGGTAGCCAGGACTTTCACCCAGGCAATCTAGTCTGAATCCAAAGCCTGAGCTCTCTTAACCACAATGCACACTTGCCTCCTAGATCAATGAAGCTAATCACTCTGATGTTCAGAGGAGGCGAGGTCTGTTGGTGGTCCCTCAGCTAGAGTGGCAGAGGCAGGATTAGAACTTGGTTCCTTCTTCCCATCATGCCCATCTGGCAGGAGTGCATAAGTCTTCATATACCTGCTTAAGCTTTCTGTACTGGAGCAGCTCCTGCTCACACTAAGTGATGAACAAATCATGCAAATAAGAAGGAATGAGGCAGGAATATCCTTCTAACCAACCTGCCTGCCCTATTCAAGACCTCTATACTCTGAATTCTCTAGTTTTTCTAGTTCTTTCTCCTGAAAACCACATTCCCTTGCAGCCTCTGGGAGGAAGTGGGCAGCCCTAGTCTCTGGATCTGACTCTTAGGTTACAGGGCTCCATTATCGTGACCTGTGTCCCTTCCACCTACTCCCTACATCTGACTCACTAAAAACGTTCCAGGGCTCTTTTCTCCAGAACAGATAGAAGGATAGGGTAAAGAAGTCCCCCAGCTTAAAGAACATGTGGCCAGATGGAAATCTTGGCCTTTCTTGTCTCTCAGGAGTCCCCTAGGATGATTCACCCAGGGTCTACAGCCCATGGCAGATGGCATAACATGGGTGGGAGCCCATGGCAGGCGCTGGAGGCAGGTACCTCAGGCTCAGAATGCAGGCTGGATTTCCAGGACAGAAGGGCTCCACAAGGCTCCTTCTCCCCTGAGTAACCAGGAACCTCTAGCCCATCAGGAAAACATGGGAACATACAGCAACCAGGGCCAGAACCTGGGCATGTGGAGGGTGTGGCAGGTGTGCCCCAGAGACCATGTTTGCTGAAGTGTCTGTAGTTGTAATAAGGAGTTGGTAGGTTCCAGGACATCACAGTAGTGCAAAGATCCCAGATCCTGGCCTTGCCACCATTAGCGACATATCCTTAGGGGAACTTGCTTAGGCTCTCTGTACCACAGTTTCCACACCTGGAAAGTGATCGAAAGTATCTACCTTGAAGGATTGCTATAAGGGAGAGATGAGTGAAAGTTCTCGGGTCACAGTGGGCTGGGCTGTCTTGTGGCTGCAAGCCCTCACTTTGCTTGCCTCGCTCCCACTGAAACCGACTCCCAGCCTATAAAGTAATGAAGAGCTCTCTCCTACAGATGCACTGGAGGCCCAGACAAGTCAGGAGTCCTCTGTGGCTTGCAAGTAACCAGCAGATTAATGGAAAGTCACTAACATGACTTGGGGCAGGACTTTCACAAGCACAAGGCTGGGCAGGGAAATAGCCAAAGCTAAGAAGGCCCCTATCTTTAGGGGACTCCCAGGAAAGGCTGATATTTGAGTGCTATGGAGGCAAAGGATGAGGCTGGGGTGGAGGGAGAACCTTTCAGTAAAGAAGGGGATATTTAGAGAAGTAAGGAAGGTGTGAGGGTCTCCTAACAGTCCCCCCCTCAATCATTCCTCTACTGTCACCTGAGCTGCCCAACGCCCTTTAAAGCTCCCTTTGTTCTCAACATAAGCATACCCCCAGAGGCAGGCACCCCAGGTTCCCACCCACAGCAACTCTTGCATAGCCCCACACTGAAGTGAAGAGATTGCAGTTCGCAGGAGCTGCACCATGGGACCCCTTGGGCCTTCCCATGAGTGATTCCTCTGCTGGGTTGCCCTGTTCCCATCTATCCACCCTCCTTTAGCTCCAGTCACATGCATCACCTGCTCAGGCTTCTTCCTATTCCTGCCCACACGAGACTCCAGCAGAGCCACCCCTGGCCCCAATCCCGGTGTGTGGACTGTCCTCCTTACCTGTCTTCCCTTCCAGACCCAGCTTCTTGAGGCTGCAGTATTTTGTTTGCAGTGGGCCCTGTCCTCATTCTATATCTTCGGCCCAGGCAACAAGTGATCCAGTTCCTCTGTGATCTGACCCTGGCTCAAGTGTAATGGCTCCATCTTATTTATGCAGTAGCCTCAGGGTCTGGCACACAGCTGGGCTCCACACACTTGATGGCTGGGTGAGCAAATAGATTCCCTAGAGCTGTCAACCCCCTCAGACCATCTCTTATTGGCCTTGCCTACAGCTGAGCTCCTACAGGCTGGTAGTCCTACAGCTGCTATTTTGGTTTCCAGAAGGTTTAGGGGATCATCTACTTTATGGCCCAGTGAGGTTCCAGTAGGGAAAGTGACCTTCACAAGTCACATAGCCACAGAGCCAGAACCAGAAGTCCAGGCCTTCCGATTCTCAGTCCAGTGACCTTCACACTCGCAAGCTCCCTGCATAGCTAACTTTCTGGATACTCCATTTCTCTCTGTCCTCTTCCTGTCCTGCCATCTCTTTGGCAGGATACAGTGTCCC